AAAAGCAAAATAATAATAATAATAAAAAAGAACTCATTATAACATAACAAGAAATTAATCCATTTGCTCTATTTTATTGTTGGTTAAAATTTCAAGTTTATTTTGAAGAAGAAATTTAAAATTACTATTTATTACAATTATATTTCATTTTTCTTAAATTAATAAATCCATTTTTTACCTAATTTAGCATAAAAAATACATATTTTATCTTCTTCTTCAAATTCAATAATGAGGCTTTTTTTTGCTCTCTGCCTTCTCACAAGTCATATCTTAAAGCATAAAACTAGACTAGCTTAGGCAAGTAGGGACGTGGTAGCTATTTGAACTAAAATCAGTAAATTCATCATCAATTTCACCAAAAATAAAATATCTCTATTATTAGGATAAAGATGTGAAAATTTGCCATATAATATATATGTGTGTTCTTTTCCATCTGTATTAGAGAAATTAAATTACCTTATTTAAAATAATATTCCTTGAGTACATCATGACCATGATTCGAATCTGCCCAACTAATCGACATTTTTCTTCAGTTTATTTTAAAACGAAAATACTATATATTTCTCAATTATGTTTAATAGTTGTAAGTAGGTTTTCAAAGTTCCAATACTGGATTAAGGGTTCCAAATCTCTCCATAAGTGACTCGAAATTTACATAATCTCTCCATAGGAATGTTTCCAAATCTCTCACTTGTGTTTGGTTTAAGTTTTTAGGTAGTCTATTTCTTTGGAATCTAAATTTACATAATCTTTTAGATTAAATAATTGTAAAATTTGATTAAAACTAAATAAGCTAGTTACAGACTAATTAGCCACTGTAAGCTAGAGGGATCAATCCATTTGATCCATTATGACATTTGTTAAAATTTCAAGCTAATTTCGAAAAATAAATCGAAAATTACTACAGTTATATTCTTATTAATAACCCCACTTTTATTTAAAAGTAAAAATAACCCAACTTTTGAGTTTTTACACGGTTTTCATTATATAAATATGGCAGTCCTCAACCTCATAGTTCAAGTTCAAAATTAGTCACAGCTTTATTCTTCTTCTTCTTCAAAATCAATCCTTAGCTTTTTTTCTTATTTCTCTGTGCTCTCAAAGTCGATAATGGCAGTCCAAGCTCTGAGTTATTTCACGTGGTTTGTTTTTCTCCTTCTCCACTCTGTGGAGTTCTCCCACTGTTTGATCACTTTTAATGCAACCATGTTGTTGGACGGTAGCGGAGATTACGTCCATATTAGCGATGCTATAGCTGCAGCACCCAATAACGGTATGACCAGATTTAACACCCATATCAAACCTGGGATTTATAGAGAACACGTTGAAGTTCCAACACAAAAAACATTTATATCGTTGATCGGAGACGATGCGTCTACCATTGTCATCGTTGACGATCGAAGCAATCGCTCTGGATTCTCAACTACCTCCTCTGCCACACTCTAGTAATTCCCTATCTTCTTGATCTATTTAACATTCTGCTTAAAATTATGTAAGTGTATGAGTTATAATTTCAATTTCTATTTCTAATATAAGGACGTGTTATATTTCTGTAGCTGTGAAGGCTAAACATTTCATGGCCCAATTTTCTAACGTTTCAAAACACTGCCGGTCCAGAAAATGGGCAAGCGGTGGCAGTTCTAAGTCAAGCTAATTATACAGCCTATTATAAGTGTGTCCTTATGGCTTATCAAGACACACTTTATGTGAGGGGATCCTTCCAATTATTCAAGGAGTGTGATACATATGGAAGTGTCGGTTTTATTTTTGGAGATGGCCTCGCCATATTCCAAGACTGTAATGTATACGCACGAATATTGGACACTACTATCACTGCACAGTTCAAAATCGAAAAGCAACAACGGAGTGGCTTCACCTTCCAAAACTGCAACGTAACGGTGTCACCGGAGATACAATCAAGCAAGGATCAAGGGACGATGTCTCTTGGACGACCGTGGAGGAGCTACTCCACCGTTATTTTTATGGAGACTTTCCTAGATGATGTAGTTGAACCAAGTGGATGGTCAGAATGGTCAAGAATACCGATGAACCTATTGTTTTATGCTGAATACAGTAACAGAAGTTCAGAGCTAACACTTCTCAGTGGGTGAAATGGTCAGGCTATCACGTGTTGCACATAAAGATGAAGCCTCAAGATTCACCATTGAAAATTTCATTGATGGACTTGCACGGTTACTAGAAACTGGTATACCTTTTAGAAAAGATCTGCGAGCATGAATGATGCTTAATTATGTTTATATAGTTATGTAAATGACACATCATGTTCAAAGCAGGGTTCTAGCATTTGATATTCTAATTTTAATGTACTTTGTTATATTTAAGTATCAATTAATATAGCGACGGAAAAAGTAAAAAATGAACACATGGGAAGAAGCTACTTTCAATATGTACTTTAAATGCAACTTACTGTGTCAGAGACAATAGACATGGACGAGAGAAACCAATCAATTTTAAAAAATAAGTTAAAAGGAAATTGACTAAAAAGAAGATAAAATAGGAAACGAAATTACAAAGGAATGAGACCA